GACAAGGATATAGCAATAAATGCAGAAAGCCAGCGGCAATACAGCGGCGCGTAGGCGGTACGTGATACAGCTGAAAAGTACGTGTTGTGGGTGGCGTTGTGTATACAGAGTTGTACGGTTACAATATAAGATAGTTACCCAAGTAGCACGAGATGTATTGCTTGGCACCCTCTATCGTAACTACTAAAAGCAACTACAACAACGCAACAATTAATTAAATTTGACAGCAGCAATTAAATTGTAGTTGTCTGTTTGTGAGATACGCAGCGCAATATACTGTAAATATTGTGTTGTAGTTGTACAATTGCGCAGTTAAAACAACGCGTTTTTTTGTTATTTACAACATCTACCTTTACCTGTAGCAACAACCTCAACACTATAGATATATACAGTAATATTAGGCCTACAATCGTCTCTACTACGCCTAGCAAGCGGTAGTAGAGGTGTATAATAGCTACTGTATTTGTACTTGCTGGTGCTACAGTGTGTCGCCCACGGTCGCCCGAAGCAGGCAGCCGTTAGCGACACACTGTAGTATTAGGAGATTTTTTTTTGCTGTATTCGAATCGCGGCAGTAATAGCTCTATCGTGAGGTTTTTTTGTATATATATATGTATATACAGCGTTGTTAGGAATTTTTTTTGTATATTAGTTGCTGACCTCAACACCAAAAAAGTATCGTGTGATCGCTGCTACGGCAAACCCAACAACCTCACGCGTAGGCCTTAGCCAATCAAGCCAATCAAGCCAAACAATCAAGCTAGCTTACAGCAGCTTGGCTTGATTGATTTGTACCTCTACTCCAGCTTGGCTTGATTGATTAGCCAGCTTGATGCGCCAGCTTGATAGCGATCAAGCTGGCTTGATTGTTGACAAGTCTGCCTATTCCTTCTTGCAGATCATGCATCATGACAAACTGGAGCGCTTATGGTAAGCTACGCCGAGTATGAACTGATATCTTGGAAAAGCTAATGAGGTCAGTTACCATTCACGGCGCTCTCTATCACCGATTGTGAAAGCGCATCTTAATGGATATCAGCACAGATTGAAAGACCTGCAAATAAGCTTTTATACTGATCCCAAAACGCCTGAGCAACTACCACGAATATTCTGCGGTCTGCAGCGTCTCGACCTATATCTCACAGAGTCAACAAATATCGCCCTTCTATTCGATAACATGGAAGCCGTAGGCGCCAACTTGAAGCGTTTATCCTTGACGACAGCAGATCCCCAGACAACCGAGAATCAGCTATATGCCTGGGCGATGGGCGAACAGAACGACCTCACCCGCTATACACCTCGACTCGAAGAGCTCAGATTATCTAAGATGGACTTCTCAGACACATTTGAGCAGCTATCTCGGATCATCGACTTCCATCGATTGATTCGCCTCGAACTCCTGGTAGAGAGCTGCGGCCTTCACCTTTTCATAAAGGATCTGGCCAACAGCATATATACTGGCAGTAGAGAGGTGAACAGGCTCCAGTTGAAGCATATCGCCGTCGAGTTTGTGCCCGATCTTGATGAGCGTGAGGCAATCGACCTCAGGGATGCTATGGAACTCATCATCACCGCTTGCGGCCCAATCGAGAGCTTTCATATGCGTTACCCAGAAGCCAACCCCCTCAAGATCACCCTACTGGATTTCTTGCAGGCGCTCAGTCTCTCCAATCACAACTTACAGAGCTTGAGCATCTATTGCGATGAGTTCGAGACGCTCCAATGGGATGGAGTGGCATCGGATCTATTACAGTGGGTTTCTGTAAGCTCCTTGAGTAAGGTGAAACAGCTCGCTGTGTACTGTGGCGAGTCAGCGATGCTTGGTGGAGACATGACAAACAAGTATACTACACTGTTGGTGAGTGCATACGATTTCGCATGTCCATACAGACGAAGTTATGAGAAAGATATCTGACGTGAGAATAGCAATCTTTGAGGAGGTTTCCACAGCTGCGCCTGCTACACCTCCACGTACCGGATTGCGACCGGCTGGGAAGAAGCGAACACAATTCCAACGCTGAGTGGGATTCCTCGATATTGTCTATGCAGCTGCAAACTTTCGCCAACCAGCTCTTCGGAGATTTGCATGGAGCGGGCGCGAAGCTAGATGCTTTGGTCATTGGACATTTGGCGACAGTCGAGGCGATAATTACCGATGCGGACTTTGTGATTCCGCTTCCACAGCAGTGTTTCGTCAAGGGCGAGCAAAGAGACATCCTCGGCCGTACTGTCGCTGTCGGCGTACCTGTCACGAGAATGATGTTGCATGCAACTCAGCCGTATACGGACATCCTGGATATCGACCATCCCAGAACACATGATGCGTATGACGCGTGGGCAGGTAAGGCAATGTGAGGGTTTGGCCTTTATGACAACGCCTGTACACCTTCGAAGCGTAGCGATGTAGCATTATCGATCACCTTTGCGCTATTCCATAGGCAATCGCATCGGTTAGTACCGAATAAAGTATCTTTCTCACACTCAACCTGCCACAGACTGATAGCATGTGCCCACCTTCATATAAAATTTCCAGGTTATGACTGACGTCGTGAGTGCCATGAGACGCGACATATGCTAATGACACTATACCGTAGGATATGTGCACTGCAACTTTAGGCGACCTAGCCGGCGACGGCGATATGTCGTTGATATAGAGTCTTTCTGAAAGACGTAAGGTTGCGGAGCCGCGGGTCGTGTGTCGCACATCGCGTTGGCGAGAGTGGGGCGTGCCTGTATCCGGGTACAACACCCTCTTAACCCGACTTCCGGTACCAAGGCCTTACCACAGCGGATGTATCCTTATCCGAGAACATTGGACATGGATGCTTGTGTGGAGAAGTGCGAGAAATTGGTCGGCCAACCTACCTAGTGTTCAAAAAAACCAAGCCTGCAGACCGAACTAAGTGACCGTAAGGATTGTAGAGCCATGTTTGATCAGACAAGGACAACCAATAACGTGATCGAGTTTCTCAGAAACCAAAGAATTCGAGCAAAGATTTACGAACAATCGTCGTTCATCTTGTAGCGCGACGTTTCGTAAATTACTCCGTGGGGCTGGATAAATTCATACCACGTGGTAAAGTAGCTGAATGCGTCGTCTCTTGGACGGATCAGATCAATCATGATTATTTTGATCATCATCTTCGGCATTGGTCATGATTCCTGTGGTCAACGATTCTTATCCTCATCCCTCCCCGGCCATACAATCTCTCTCTTCCAAACAGCCCTGACACATCCCACGAGCGTCACCAACCAGGTCACTACCAGTAGAGCGGTCATCACACTCGCCACCCACAGTATGCCCTCACTCTCCAACTCTCTACCCAACACACTTGTACTAAGCGTGAACCCCACATTCGGGAAGATGAAAGCCCACCACGTCAGACTAAATGGCATCTTACCAACAACACCGACGTTCCCCAAAAACGCAATAGCAAAAAGCCAGAAAGCAAACACATACAGGAAGATACCTGTAAACAATGCTAGGACACGTAGTATCTCAGGCGCAGCAGGATGTCTCACAAAGTAACTCGCATCCTCCGAAACCGCATTCGCAAGACCAATCAACGCAACAATCGTATACGCACAACTCCCCACGGGAATAAACAAGCCCGGGCGCAATTGCGCAGCAGGAGGAAACCCAAGATCCAACACATTCCTCACATATGCCACAACAGCAATGAAGCTGATACACCATCCAAACCCCTGATACGCAACCCCACTCACCACAACCCCCATGACGCGATGGGCCGGCTGCGTGCCCGCAACCATACTCGCCACCGTGCCCGTCAACATGGCCGAATACCCCGCTAGGAAAATACTAGGCAAGTACGGCACCGGCCTTAACTTACTATATGCAATAAGGATCCAGTACTGGAATATGCTATTCGCCAGAGACAAAGCAGCGTATATCCAATACAAGACGTGCACAGCGTCGACAAGCCAAGGGTAGGGCGGAGGGGAAGAAGAAGGACCGTGCGTGATACCATAGGTTTGGATACCGGCTAGGATCACGCTCAGAGAGAGCCAGAAGGAGCCTAGGAAGAGGGATTCCTGCGGGTGCAGGAACGAGGATGCAAAGTGTGTGGGATGGTGGATGAGCCGCAGGACTGTGCAGGTGCAGAGCACGAGGAAGAGTAGTATGTTGGCCAAGAACATGGTTAGACCGATGTGGTAGAGGCCTAGCGAGGTGGGGGAGGGGGCATGTCAGTTGCGCTTCTTTGTTCTTTACGGGGGAGAACGGCGGAGAATAGGGATTTGGGGGGGAAAGGGTTATTACCAGGGAATTGATGCGGTGTATCGGCGAGGGCTAGAGCTAGACCCCCCGTACTCATTGTAGAGAGGAACCAGGCGAACGTAAAGTGCTTTAGGCGGTTGCGTATGCCGATCTTGCCATCTGGTTGTTTCTGCTCTTGCGGTTGTAAGGGTTCGGGTTTTGACGACATCGCTGTGTCGTTTTCTGATGGAGGCGTACCCATGTAGAACTCTTTTGCCCGTTTTTGTTGTTGTTGTGATGACGGTGGGAACGGTGCGATATGTGCTTGGTGTTGTGATATTGTGGAGACTGTGGTGACCGATAGACGACGTGCGACGGGATGTGGTTGCTTAGGTACAGTAGAATGGCATCTCAGATCACTGACAGAACGCTTGTACGCAGAACAGAGTCGTCGTCGAGTGCAACTTCCGATGGCGTATCACATTATGATGACTTCCTTGTCAAACTTAGTATCGTGAGATGCCCAATGATTGAGTCGCGGAGTCGTGCGTGGGAACATGACGCGCCACGGCTTTGTTTCCGGCCCCTCTCTATTCCCGGAGCCACAACAAACCCTCTATATTAGCCAACCGAGATACTTCCTCATGGGAACCCGTGCAACAGAGTGTGTTTATCAGCATTCTCTTTCTTCTGAAATTACTACAAAAATTACTCTCGGGCTACTCATGCCACCTTTTGGATCTGATCCTTCGCCTGCTCCTTTGCATGATTCTTCTTCTCAATGACCTTCCACTTGATATCCCCCGGCTGCGGCCACCGATAATTAACCGGACTCTCACCACCCACAAAGATGCAAACATCATACATCAAACCACCACACAGCGCGCCTGCAATGCTTGCACCCCAGCTTCCATATGCCCAATACCCATTCTCAAACGCTGAATCATATCCAACCCATAGTCCGATGAGTCTTGGACCGAGATCACGGGCGGGCGAAATACCTAACCCAGTGTTGTAACCTAAGCCGACCATGGTGACGAAGCCGGTAAGGCCAACGACAAAGGCTGTCATTCCTTGGCCCGGAGGACTGTTCTGATCGTCTCCCAGCGCGAAGATGACACAGACGAAAATAGCCATGTAGACGAAGTCATTGAAAAAACCAGTCGCGGTGGAATACAAAGGACCCTGGGGGAAGAGCGCTTTACCGGTCATCTCGAGGGTCAGACCAGGGTCGACATGGTGAATGGCGTCAGCGTAGAGTCTGTCATGTTGTCAGTGAATTTAGGTAATGTGCAGGTAGGTGGGACTGCTCACGCGTATGCTACGGCGCCGGCGGCGAGTCCGGCGAGGAGTTGCATGCATATGTAGACGATGGCCATTCTCCAGGGGAAACCACGGTAAACAGATAAAGAGATGGAAATTGTGGGACTGAGATGCGAACCACTGACGCCACCGCCAAGGTAAATGCCGATCATGACTGCGAAGCCCCATCCCCAGGCTTGGGTTTCAAAACTACCGGTGCTTTGTTGGGACGTGGCGACAGAAAGGTTGACGCAAAGTCCAATAAGCAGGTAGACGAATGTCTATACAGTATTAGCGGAATCAATGACACGATAGATGGCTGAACTCACAGCAAGGAACTCGGCGGGCGCCTGAGGATACTTGGCCCGAAGCCTAGCGATAGGGTTTCGGTACTGGTTGTAGAACTCGCGTTCCGCTGTCTCTTCTCGTTGTTGAATCTCCTTCTCTTCCTGCTTGGTTTGAGAGGTAGCATTCGTGTCATGCTCCTGCAGTGGTGGAAGACCGTCTTGTAAACCAAAGTGCTGCCGGTCGCCACGTCCATCAGCGTAGTCCAAACCGTGTTCATTGATAGGCGCACGGTCTTGACCATCATGATGCTCGTGGCTGCCGGGGTCTTGCCCGCGATTGCGGCTGAGGAACTGGTCAGCTTCACTTGTTGGCACGCGTCTCATGTTGACTCTGCGTCCGTCAACAGTGGTCTGGAACTGAGAGGGGTCTCGTCCCGGCTGCGGGCGTTGTCCACCGCCGAGCGTGACTTCAGAGTCTTCCGAATCTTCCTCCAAAACTGTCCATGGTCTGATTAGAATCGTTACTCTCAGTGGGGGATCAACCTAACAAGGTCCGCGAAGACTCACCTTTTCCATCTGCATAGTCCTGCTGGGCGACGCCTTCGGCATTTTGGTCGTCGACCTTGTACAAAGACTTGCGCAGGTCACCCCTTCCCCACCACATACCCTTGCGAACAGTGCGTGGTAGAGGCGCACCCAAACCAAAGACTGGTTTTGACTTTTGCTCATTGTACCACGGGTTTAACGAAAAGTAGTCATTGTCAACGTCCACGACCTGCTGTTGCTTCTTCTCAGGTCGTCGAGGAGGTTCTTGCCTGACATTCTCACGGGTTGCCCGGCTCTTTCGAGCAGTCGGCGTATTCCGAATAGAGTCCATGTGTGTCATGCCCGTGTTAGCAGTATCGGTGCGCGCATGGTCGGGTCGTGAGTCTAGACGAGTTGTATTGCTCCGCACATTTTCAGGTCTTGACTCCAAGTGGGCAGTTTCACGTCTTGCTATGCTTCCCACACTGGAGTGGTTTTGTGCAAGACCCGGTGGCTGGTATGATGCCGTAGTTTGCTGTCTCCGCTCAGACATGTCTACTGGTCTTTGAGGCTCAGGATTGCTTTGTTGTTGCGCTGCGTAATGTTAGGTCATGCAATTCTGGGGAGTATTGAATGACTTACTGTCTTCGGCTTGGTTCTTTTGTTGTTGTGCCATTTTGTTGTTGTATTCTTTCTCCTCCATGTCTCGGGATGAGAACTACCTAACAAGCTTATATCCGATGTGTAGGGAACTTGGAAGTAAACCAGGGGCATGGGAGGTGCTAAATGGAAAAGATGGTAAAAAAGTGCGTCCGCGATTAAGCCATGGGAAAGTGAAGAATTCGATGCGTAACGTCACTTGCAAGGAAGCTTTTGCCTAGTTCGCCCACGCCCCCAGTATTTCGGAAGGACTCTCGCTGACGCGGTGCTGTTCCTGCCAATCGTTCGAGTTGATTTTCACATTGAGTGGATATGTACCGTTTGCGGTACCCAGATTTTAATGGACATGTCCTGATGAGAAGGGTTTCCATCTCGATCTTCAGGGTTGCGGTAAGGTGTGGCGTCGTGTGAATCGTGAGATTGCTGAACATCGGCGTCTTTATAGTGGGTCGCGCGGACGCTCCGCGGACCTGCAATCTTTGTTGTTGACACAAGTATGGCAATGGAGTGACATAAGTTTCGGGCAAGCGAAAGAGTCATCAAAACTCGCCAAAAAAGTGCAGTAGGAACGGGATGCATGAAATGCGAAGGGAATTCAGATGCAGATCACCCGAGAGCCACCAGGGCCAATGAGCTTTTTTGAGGCTCAAAGAGCCGCACCGACCCGTGCGAAGTAGCGGCGACACTGACTCTAACGGGCTGTTCCCAAAACATCACACCAGCCACACTTGATGAATAGAGCGTTTGGAGGCACACGGATGGAGAGGTCGCCTTGTCACCACGATCATGCAGGCGCACGCGCTATTTCTTCGTTATGTGGAGACTCGGCCAACATTACTAAGTTTACCCGATGATTATCCTGAGACATTACCATCCTTGGGCTGCTACATTGCTGTACTTACACATGCAACATCCATGCGCTACAAGAGCTCCAGTGGCTGCGTAAGCTCCCGCCGCCGCCACGGTGTGGTAGTACATATCGGGCTCAAATTAGAGGCCCGAGCTTTCTCGAGGTCGTTGGATAGAAATCCTCTAGCCAAAGCCCCGTCCAACGACTCCAACTCGCAAGTGTTCCTGCTGGTCACGTTGATTCGGATGCTCATGATACTGCCATCAGCTTGTTCTGCTCCTGGGCCAACGTCAGGCCTTCGGGTGCTTGTCGGAACAAAACAATTTCGGACTGCTTGAAATATCGGCGCGCGTCTACGAAGAGTCAGTCAGTCAGTCACAGTTGTGCATGTGTGTGGGTGCGCCATGCCTTCGTCGATGAGTACCAAACTCAAGTAGTAGCGAGTGGAATACTTCTTGTTGACTTCGCGGAAGGTGGGTGTCAGGTCGAAGCCACCAAGGAACAACCTGATGGGTATGGTTTCACCTGGAGTCTTGTCAGTCATGCTCACTGCAGATGCGTGGCTGTGGGTACCTCGCGAGGGCGAGCCATCCATGATCTCAAAGCGCACTAGCGTCTCGCTCTCGTTGTATTGGTTGGGGGCAGCTCCCGTTGTCTCTCTCCGTATGATGGACAGCTCCATGTGCTTGATCTTCAGCCGGACGAGCAAGAAGTATATCCTGCCGACAATGACATCCTTCAAGTGGTACTTTGACTTGCTGTATTCGAATTCAATGTGTAGACAGTCCTCGATGCCGACGTCCATCTTGATGGAGCTGTTGGTCTCGGGCGGGATGCGGTACGAGTAGACCCAGAGGTCCTTCTCCCTGACCACGTCTGCCATCCTCCGCGATACCGTGACGCGCACAAAGTAGCGCAGCTTGACGTTGATGCCATTGTATGATTCGTACTGTTTCTCCACGTTCTTGAAGTTGAAGTCGAACGTCTGCGGGTGCTGGAGCTCGCCGGGGGCTGCTAGTTCCTGGCCAAGGGAGAGGAACTCGTAGTGGTTTCCGCGATCGAAGAACATCTCTGGCGCATATGTCAGCTGTATTCAAGTTGTCGCAGGGTTAGCGCCTACCAATGGTACCGATGAATTGCACCTTGATGCCCGTGTGTTCCAGCCGCTTGCCATCCTTGGGTCTTACCGTGACCTGGCCCTTGACAGATTCGCCATCCAGATACAGTGGCACCTTTTCTTTGCGGTTCTTGTCCAGCTTCACATCCACGGCAGAGCGGTCGTCGAGGTCCTCGAGCACAATGTCGATGTCGACGGGGGTGGAGAAGAAGTACGACATGCTGGCGACGAGATAGCCCGATGTGTTGGCGAATTATCCCGATGCGCGAGATGTCCCAGTGTGTTGGCGCGTCTTCGGATGGTCGTGGAGAGCTGCGCCCCAGATGCCGTCGCAGGAGCTGATGACGCGCTTGTCCCCGTTGAGCCCGTCACGTGAACGCCAGCCTGCCCCGCCTCCCCCCGATTCCTCCCCATCATCAACGCCCTCGTCATATCGACACCCATCCTTGTTTCCTCTTGACTGGATCCACGTCACGTCTCACTACATGTTTGTCGTCACATGGTCCTCCACATTGCCGTTCCGAAGTGGGCGGACATGACCACCTGCACAGGACGAACGCGTTGTGACTGATCGGATACATGCGCGTCGTGACTGATCGGATGCATGCGCGTCGTGACTGACTGATCGGATGTACATGCCCATGTCTGCACCACACACGCCCAGCACCCACTCCGTGCATCTGCCGGATCCCGCCCCAAACATTGTTCGCAGCCTCGATCCTCACCGGCCCGAAGTCCTTTCAGATTCCTTGCCTAACCCCCACGCGCCATTATCAAACAGCTTCGTACCGCGAGTCAAAGCGGTGAGCTGAAGATTTATTTTTTTGCGAACGAAACCTGGCCGACGCGCAGCCTGCTCACCACAGCGCCATGCAGTTGCCTGACGCCTCAAGCTCAATCCTGCCGTGGCACGTCGTGACCATTGGCGTGTGGGATGCATAAGTACCTGAGAAAGGACTGGGGTCGGCATGCGGGGCGGCAGATGCGCTACTCGTCATCCCACACGCGACAGGTCCACTTTCAAACGCCGAAGTTCATCCTCTCCAGGCCCGGCTTCGCGGCTGTTACAGCCGGCTGGGCCTGTTACTGAGGCTAGCTGCACGCCTCTGCTTGTTATTCGCTGTTTCCCTTCTGGAGCGTGCCATCGTGCCTTGGCTCCCAGAATATCGACAAGTTCCATCGCATCCCACCCTTGCCGTTGCCGTCATGGCTTGCGGGAGAAATTTCCAGACGTGTTCCCCAGGTGTGACGCCTTAAATGCACCACGCCCCAGCAAACGTCGGGGTTGCTTACCGCCTGCATACATACATCTCGTTTCACCCGTATCGCAATATCGTATATTAACCCAGCCGAACACCCATCCCAACGTACTTGTGAGCCCAACTCAATCACTAGCGTCATACAAAAACCCCCCCAAAACGTTCTACAAACACTCATCTCCGCAAACCGGTTCACTCAATCGCTTCTACAACCATGATGCAAACCGTGGATCCATCGCAGCCAAAGCCCATACAATATGCATCACCGCCTTCTCCGCCTGCTTCCAATACCGGCTCACCAAAGTCAATGTCCGTCCTGAACGCTACCGAGACGGACAAAATGACAATCTCAACCCATCACCACATTCTCATAGTCACTGGCCCAGCAGGATGCGGCAAGAGCACTGTTGCCAAGCACCTCTCAGATCGTTATGGATTCGACTACATCGAGGGCGACGAGGTTAGTCAAACCCCATCCCGCATTGACCATGTACTGACGTCTTCTTAGTTTCACCCAAAAGCAAACATCGACAAGATGGCCGCCGGCATCCCTCTAAACGACGAAGACCGTTGGGACTGGCTCATTCTGCTACGAGACCAAGCTATCATGAAGCTCAAGGACGGGGCCAAGGGTGTTGTCGTCACTTGCAGTGCGCTCAAGAAGAAGTACCGCGACGTCATCCGCACAGCCAGACTCTACGACGAAGACCCAAATGCCAATGTACACTTTGTCTATCTCCGCTCCGATCTGGAGACCCTCATCGCCCGCGTCCGCGCCAGAAAAGGCCACTATATGAAGGACTCCATGGTCGAGAGCCAGTTCGCTTCGCTTGAGGAGCCTGACGAGACCGAGTGCAAGCAGCTGAAGGATGTCGAGATCATCGACGTCAAGGGAAGCATACAAGACGTTCAGATCCTGGCTGGAGCTGCTGTCGACAAGGTCCTGGCGCAATAGCGTTCCGCCCGCAGAATCAGCCGGCTCTGATTTCTCATCGCGAACTATCCTCTTCCTTCGCTTAGATGTTCGGACGCAATGTTTGGCGAGTTGCGCCGATGTGCGAAGCGTGGGTCGCATCTTTGTCTTTCTTTCCTATGGCGTTTGTCATATCACTATACCCTCGCGAGACGAGCCAGCATACATTGGTTAGCGAAGATGAATTTTTCTTTTGATTCATTATGGGAAATTCAGGTTCTTCACCGTTCTTTGATTGTTTCGTTGATTAACAATCGTGCCGAGTATCGTGTGTTGTTTAGCTCGAACACGTAATCAAGCGTGCTTAGCAATCCAACACCCCTTCACGCCGGGCGTCTTTCTAAACATCAGCTGGATCGAGTATAAAGAAGCGATCCCATTCATTCTCTAAACAGATCACGATGCTACAAGCGGGATTCACAAGAAACCATACTCTCCTCTTCATCTTATTCTTGACTGCCATTTCCTACCTATTTGCAAGACGTCCAACCATGTCTTCTCCTTCCACTACCCAAACAGCGCTCATCGTGTCCAGCATTGGCGGACGCATAACCTCAACATCATCCTGGCCCATCCCGCGCCCAGGACCCAAACAAGTCCAGATCCGCATCACAGTAGCCGGCCTCAACCCTCACGACCAGAAGTCGCGGGACGCAGGGCTGCTTATAAAAGACAAGCTACCCGCCATCATCGGCAACGACATCACGGGAGTCGTGACGGCGATTGGAGAGCAAGTCACCAGGTTCAGCGTGGGCGACAGAGTGGTGAGCCAGAGTCAATTGGCCTACGAGCAAAAAGCACTACAGCAATTTGCTGTCCTTGAGGAAGATTTTACGGCAAAGATACCGCATCCGTTTTCTGATCACGACGCTGCTACACTTCCTACAAACGCTCTTGCTGCACTTATAAGCCTGTTTGACCCAACCAGTGGCCTGGGTATTCCGGCCCCTTGGAGCAACAGCACATCGTCGTTTGATTATGCAGCAACTACACTTCTTATTGTAGGCGGCGGAACTAACTGTGGTAGATTCGGCGTGCAATTTGCAAAGATGGCGGGCATAGGACGAATCGTCGTTGTTGGGGGAGAGGAAGAGGAGCTAAAGAAGTGGGGTGCGACAGTCGTTTTGGACCGACACGGTGGCGATGCCGCCGTCATCCATCGCATCAGACAAGTCGTCGGCGACGACCTGGTCTATGTTTTCGACGCCATCAATCTGCCCGAGGCACAACATGTCGGTATTAGTGCCTTGTCTTCTTCCCAGAGGGGAAAGCTCGCGCGCTTGCGTTCTTCGGTGGGAAGTGTCGACGAGACCAAGATTGTTGGGGAGAAGAATGCCGGATATGAGTTGAAGAATGTGCTGGGCATCTCGCAGTTGAAGCCAGATACCGTACGCCCCTTTTGGGAGAGGCTGGAAGGGTACCTGCAGGATGGGAGTGTGGTGCCGCTGAAATATGAAGTCATTAACGGGCTGGATGCGGATAAGGTCAATGAGCTGTTGGACAGATACCGTGACGGTAAAAAGGTTGTTCAGACACATTTCAGGGTGTCGGAGTAGAATTCGCATTGAATAATATTGTGGGATTCATTAGGAGCATATTCTTGAGCAAGATATGAATTCGTAGAGAGAAATCGCCCAACCCAAAGACTTTGGAACATTTAGTCGAGCTTGCAGTTAATGATTTTCACCCTCATCAGATTTATTTGTTGTAGCTTGTCGGAAAGATCTTCCTTGTTCAAACTTCGTCGGTCGTCTAGTGGGCGTGTGTGCACGTGTGTGATTACTGATACCGGTGCCATGGGACTTCGGGACTCTCGCCCCACTTGGGGCTCCAGAAAAGGACGTATAACCCGTCCGCGAAATATGCGGGTAACGCACCAAACGCCGATTTTATGTGGAACCGTCGCACGTTGAGCTATTTGCCGAATTTCTTAATCAAGTTATTAATCGTCCTTGTAGCGCACTACTTAGCGTGGCGCAAACAATAGCTAGAGGTTGTAATAATTTCGCGAAGTACAAGCAAGAGAAATAGAACTACTAGAGTATTATAAAGCTAGCATAGAAGCTCGACAGGGTTATTGTTACCCACGGGTCAACTCACCAGGGCAGTACGAATCATACGACGTCAACGAGTTTATTACCGATCCGTACAGCATCGTTGGTGCTGATCTAACTTGTACTATGACCACACAAAGCTCACGCCACCTCACCTATTTCAAAAACAACAAGCAGCCCTGAATGAAGGCGAAAACAGCGATAGCAGTCGCCCCAGCCGCGACTCCCAATTCAGCATTCCCAACCATGTACCCAACGACAGACCCAATCACCGCCTCAACGACAATGGTACCGGCCACTCCTGCCGCGATGAGCCAGCGACTGGCTTTAGTCTTGATCAGAATGGCGTGGTAGTGGCCGTCGATGAGGCTCTTGCCGTTTGCGGGGTTAAATTGCGAGTTCTCGCGGATGAGAGTGGCGCCGGTGCCGTTGAGAAGAGAGGGGGTATGGAAGGCTTCGGTGAGCTCAAGGAGTGGGGTGCTGGATTTGAGGATGACGGCGCGAGGGTAGTCTTGAGCTTCTGGATCAGGGTTGACAGTGAACTGGGGTAGACAGTCAGGGGTCTGTAGGTAGGTTGTGGAAGACTGGTTGTAGACCAAAAGAGACGGTTTTAGGTGGTCGGAGTATTAGTAAAGTGCGAACGAGTAGCAGACTTACGGACGACAGAACAACATCTTCGAGCTGAGCACGAGAGTGGAACCATGGGTTGCTCGGTTTAGTGTCTTTGAAAGCCTTTCTAATGGCGTGCACAGCGGTGGTCCCGGTCATGCGATGATGCATCTCGACGCTGTACACAACATGGCCGCGCTTTTTCTCGGTGACAATGAGCCACTCGAAATGTTCGGACTGGCGTTGGTTCGGTCCTTGGCCTACAGACGAGGATGAGAAAGACGATGCCATGAGGGACGTGGAAATCACGAAGAAGTGCGATCATGAAGGCGATGTATTTTTTTCTAACAGCTAATGATAGGCAATAGAAGAAAGGTGGTTTGACAGGACGCAGAACCATGGTCCTGTCACCGTGTTTTTATGCATATTCACATGGCTCGCGACGTTTCGTGGTGTTGGGATGAAGCCCTCGCGAGGATAGATGTAAACGAACGAACGCGAGCAGGACGGGGCGCGAAGACGGTGGCATTAGTTCACGTTTAGACGACGCGCGAGACTTGGGATGAACCGAAGACGAGATGAAGGAGCACCGAGAGCTCGAGCAACGCAAAGGCAGGCGCGAAGTGTCGCGGAAGCGTGTGTGTAAGCGGGGATTGTGTGGCTGATCCCTGAAACGTCATGCGGGCAAAGGGGGTAGAGCTGAGCCACGTGTGGCTCGAGTACGATTGTGACATATCCGTCTCAACCAATGCCCGCCAACCGCGAAACTTCGCGCCTGGTGTTTGTCGCGCCTGTTGAGCGTAGCGTCCTCTTCCCTCTTATGCTCCCGGTTTCCCTCGCGCGTCCTCACCATGCCACATCCCCTATCCCTACCTGACCCAGGGCCGAGTGCGAAATCGCCGCTCTGTCGATCGACGCCTAACTGTCCAACCTTTCTTGTCTACTCATCGTCGACGCTTCAGTCTTGAATTGTCCTCCACGTTTGTGCTTTCCGCTGCCTGTATTTCAGATTCCGGTCTATCTCTTCCAACGGGACCACCGTGGCCAGAGACTGTCAACTGAGTTGCTAATGCGGCATAAGTGAGACGAATAGGTCTCACTGCCTGTGCCCTCACAGAAAGCCACCTTGTCCCACGAATCCGACGTGTAGTCCCCCGCCGTTGCGAACCGCGCTATTGACGAGCCTGGATCGTTCATTAAACCGACTTGGCTACAATCGTTTCCCATATATCCCACGTAGCCTTTACAAGTATTTTTGGCTGAAAATTATGGAGATGTCACTACCATCCGATTCCAGAACAGAGTTCTTCAGAGGGAATTACCTGCATGGGATGTACCCTTTCGATGTGGGATCCTCGGATATAAAAGGTCCAGTAACCAGAAGCAGAACCTCTAGACTAAGAGATAAACGCTACCGTTGCCATATCTGCGGCACATCCTACACCCGTTCTGGCAACTTACGCAATCATGAACGCACGAATCATCACTTCTATCGCGACAAAGCAAAGCGTAGTCAGAAAGAAGGAAGCTGTTCCTCAGCTAAAGCTCAAAATGACAGAATGGCAAAGTCAACGCAGAGTAATCCCCGCGAGGTCCCTCTACGTGATACCTCGCCTTTGCACTTAAGCAAGAACGACTGGGGCGGAATACCTGTTCCTATCAGTCTAATACACAGATTGGAATTCTGCCTATCAACATTGAGTTCTCAGTCCACTCAAGGGTTTCGTATTCCGTTGGTAATCAAAACCCATGGAGTCGCAACAAACATCAACATTGATGTGTACGACAAGTCACAGACCCTTCCTACCGACAGCGGTACCACGCAATTGGAGCCCTCTCTAGGCGATATCAAGATATCTGAGCCAGAGCTGCGATCCGAGCAGCTGCAACTTCCGCCGCAACCGTCGCTTCGACAAATTCTCAAGGTCCGTCGTCGCCTGCTCAGCTCGGCCATGAAACACGATAACATGGACGCAGTCATGGATCAGCAACCTATTACAACCATCGAGGACTCCGAGACCGAGACCGACGAGCTCACTTTTCTTACGTTTTCGCCTTCCAAGGACTTGGCTCATTCCAGCAGCAAAGACGAGGCGAAGCTAATGGGTCATCGAAAATCTGATCATTTCCACGAATTGATCAAAGTAGAACCCAGTAAGATTAAGGCAGAATTCAGTAAGATTGAGGCAGAATTCAGTGAGATTAAGGCAGAAGCCAGTGAGATTAAGGCAGAAGTCAGTGAGATTGAGGCAGCATTCAGTAAGAAACGGAAGAATCCTGACGACGATGCATCTCACTACTCGGGGGTTTTGGTCGACTCAAGCGATGAAGAAAACGACAGCGAGGGCATCTTGGATACCACGCGTATCTCTACGGACCCCAAAGAAATGGCCATTCCCGTAATCGTTCCAAAGCACGAAAAGGTCGACCCTGTCAGAAAATGGCTTTATGAGCATCCTGCCTGCCCATATCCTACTATGGACGAGAAGATAGGGCTGGCTACTGCTGCTGGCCTCACAACCCAGCGATTGAGTTGTCGCTTGGCTAATCTTAGGTTACGTCTTAGACGCGAACTCCATGAACTTGCAACATACACAGACATTGATACGTACAATACACCGCGACCCAAGTCACAGACCCTTCTTACTAGCAGCGGTACCACGCAGTTTCAGCCCTGTCTAGACGATGTCACCAAATCTGACCCGCGCACTATTCTTAGATCTTCAACTCACAAAAACTTGGTCCATCCTAGCAGCAAAGACAAGGCCAAGCTGATGAACTATCAAGGATATAATACTACCGATGGACCGGACAAGGCAAGAGTCAGTAAGAAAAGGGTGAATTCTGACGATGATGCATCCCACTGCTCTGAGGCTTTCTCAAGTGAGGAAGGAGACGACAGCGACTACGAGTGGGATAACATCATTACATGGAACTACTCTCAACACGATGCACTACTCTCCTTCCTCCCGTATATCCGCGGTTATGACGAAAATACTTCTCCCCCGTGCAGCGACTCCCCAGAAAGCGGAAGCACTACCAGTGGTACGACGAGCGATACTCCTGCGTCGTCATCTGCATCTAGTCTTTCTGGAGGAACTGACCCTCAAGGAAACGGATATACCCCACCAAGTGCTGGGACAGGGTTCCCAGATAATGGTAGCAATCCAGTTCTTGGAACCAAGGAGGGGTTTGGGGCAAAGGTCGCCGTCCCCCGGCCTCTTCCCCTCATCTGCTGGTATTCTGCCGCTGGCATAGCTTGTAATGCGAAGCATGTCTCGAGCTCGTGTAAAACACGATACTTGTGGTGGTAAGTTGAACCACGAAGCCTTTGTCATTCATAGACGCTCATTGATTCAATAGTGATCATGCTTGGGGCAAGGATGAAGGTCTGAATCATCGGCTATCTGATGCGTGCCAGCGGTGTAAACGTTTGTTTCTTACCGAAGAACTTTTGGAAGAACACCATGGAACTTGTCGAAAATTGATCCCCTTAGAGCTGGAGGAATTAAATAGGATACCCAACAGACTCGGGATATCTCGCGAGTGTAAGAAAGCCATCGAAGTTCTCAGGAAACGTATCGAAAAGGAGACAAAGGGTGGTAAGCCGCCAGCCCTTCACGATGACGACACTATGACGCTGTTGGAGCAACGAGTGGACAGCAATGTTTCGCTTTACATAAACGGGTCTAACGCAAGTGAGAAGACCGCTAGGTCTGAACTGTGGAAGTGGTATTTTATCTTCAAGAAGTTGCGGCCTGACGACGAGCTTCCGAGAAATCCATGTAAGTCCTGTGTCGTATTCTTGGGGCCTTCAAAATCTTATATCTACTCTAGTCCTTCCAGCACAACAGCCGTTAGGACTTGAATTGAGTCTTGGAGAAAAACCCAGGGCTGACGCTCGCCTCATGTTCATGTGCAACCTCAACCAGGACGAACGCCTCTCTAAACTCGACAACGACCAGCGTACCGCTCTGGGCCGCGTGTTCCTCAATACTCTAGAGATGCTAGGTCTCAATCAAGCAAACAATAGACGCCGGACTGCTCAGAATTCTACCAGAAATCCACGGAAAAGGCAGAGAATTTCCCCACCGGAGAGTTGTGAGCGTGCACCAGATTCAACTTATCTTACTCCGGCACCTACGACACCAGCACTGGCACCAGCTCCGATACCAATGGAAGTTCCTCCATCTGTTCGGAATCCAGTAAACTTTCAGCATTCTACATTCACACCAGCCGAAGTGCAAAACCGACTGCTGCCGCAAATACCGTCATCCGTCCCCCAATCATTTATGCCTAGCACTGATAATCTTTGGCTGCTACAACAGCAGCAACAACCACAACAACAATTGCAGCAGCAACAAGAAGCAGAAAATGATCATTCGCTTTTACCCATGGGCGACCTCGGTTATATCAATTCGTGGATAGGCTACGATGAGCTCACAGAATTTGGAACTCGAGATTATTAGAGCCTAGTCCAATAGGGCTCAGCACTTGTCCCACTACGACAAAGCATGTTAAGAGCTATGTAGATATAGATAGAGAATCTAGAACTCTACAATGCTGTTAATCATCTTGGGTATTCTTGTTAGAGGCTAATATAGGCTGTAAGACAGGGCTTGTTATCCTTTTGCCTTTCAAGCTTTTCCTTTGTTTGAGGTAACGAGCACTGGAGCCCACCTGGATACGTTTTACCGGCTTTTCACAGTAGTCTTGGGGACACGATGTTGCGTCTCGATGTTGCAGCAACGGAACAGTGCTCCACATGGAGATGCGAAGCATGCTTCGAGCAGCGGGTCGATGAGGCGTCCTGAGAGGGTTTTGGCTGAATAAGTCAATGTTTTGGCATGGTGGCCGCACCAAACTCCGATTTTGGGTGGATCCGTCGCACGCCAATCGCCAAATTTCTTGATGATACTAGTCATCTTTCTTACAGCGCAGCTCTCCATTATTTGGAACTGAACGCAGTGGTTTCTCAGTCCCGAATAAGTTCTCAAACGCTTTTGCGTCTCTGCAGATACCAGAAAGCATTTCATAACGTAAATTATATTATGAATGAAGCATCTGACATCAAATCTCGATCTTCAGGTCCACCAAGTTTGACCCAGTAGCCCCTGAAGAGTTGGTTATTAATGCTAATGCTGCTGTGGTATCGCCAACTCTCTTTCGATAGTGAAGTCTACCTGTTTCTCGGTACCAGCCATAGGTCTCAACTCGGTCTCACTGCCCCAATCGTCACTTCCTTTTCTACCTTGTTCACTACTCGGCAATCTTAGGCCTGTACTATGGCTCCACCTATGTCCACTGAACATACGGCGGGCCTTGCTTTGCGGCCCTGACGCACTTGCCTCTGCAGAACCATATACTGGTGGTGCAGATGGACTTGGTCGAGTGCGCCCTATGTTTCCATTCAATAGGTATCTGAACGCCGGCAGTGTAGCGACTATAACAGATACGGATGACTCGATGTGGCTCCACATACTCAGTAGCACAGGTCCATCAGCAAGTGCGGCCGGGTCGGGATTCGAAGTAGCCTTTGTGACTTGCGCAAGCCGTGCGAACGCGAAGGCGATGATGATGGTACCGAGTGAGAAGATGACAGCGAGTCCGAACTTCTGCTGGGCTGAAACTTGTAATTTGCGCAACAGGTTCAGAGGGAGAAGCATGATGAGAGCGTCAGCAACGACGTCTGCGCTTGTTGCGAATTTGATGGAGGCGTCGGCTCGGATGAGATCCTCTGGATCGCTACACCCAGCTATATAAGTCAGAAAGTCACATAGAAACTGTTGAGATGAGATACTGACTTGCGCTCCAGTACTTGGATAATGGCCGGCAGGTCAGGAAGTTTGAGGCGATTGATGCGAGGTAGAGGAGTAGCACTGATACAAAACACACCCACCAAGCGCGCATGTATATGGGCAGTCCAATGACTAAACGTCTAAAGAAGAATAGTATGGAGAATTTGGCTAGAGACATATATCAGCATAAGATTCCTCGGCCGCGTCCAAGCAATCTCAACCTACCAGCCCATAGGGTTGTCCAAAACAAAAGCATCTGACTAAACATGAGTTTGAGTGCAGTGCGTGTCCTTTCGACGAACTCATCTGGTGGTAATGGCATTGGGGTAGTTGGATCTGCTATAGCTGCTTTTGAGTATTCTTGGGCGAGGAAGAACTGCGGTAGCAATCGTGTGATGACCACAGAGAGAGCCGTTAAAGATAGCAAGCCAAAGAAGACGAAGTGATCGTCGGCGAACAGCCGGTGTTGGGACTTCCATCGTAGAAAACCTCTCAGAGCAGTTAAGACGAATGACGCACCCCACAGACACCATATCAACGTCTGTATCATGTTAAAAATGTATCGTGTATTGATGTTCAACTTACCAAAAGTTCAGTGTAGTTCAACGTCATTTTGGCTGCTACTTGTTATTGACGGAGTGGAATGGATGACACCGCGACTGGCACGATCAACTCTTAAGAGACATTTATCTACGGCAGGGACATGTGAACTAGATCCTATGGAACGGTAAGTACCGTAGTCCCGCCGCAGGATACATGTCAGCCCTTCAAGTCTCAAGTCCACATGTGTTTGGCAGCCACTATAGATTCCCCCGCAGAAGGCCTCGATGCCGTCCAGACATGGAACTACAACGGTTCAAACAGGAGACGGTAAAATTACGGCGCAATCCTTCCAACATGCATACACGCAACAGGATGACTTAGATGGATAGATGACGGCCTAGTTCAAAATGTTAGAAGTATTGGAAAAATGTATGCAACAAGCCGTCAGGCATCGTGAATCCAACTGCCCTGCTTTGCCCAGCTCCCTTCACTCGTAAGGAGTAACAATAAATGTTAAAGGCGATAGTGGCGATGGAAGGAATACCAGGAGGCGCGTAGAAATTAGAACTTAGACTAACAGGTCCAGGGAGCTGTCGACAAATCAACGGAACCGAGAATGAGACATCATCTTATCGCTGCCGGGGGTTGCTCATTGGAGTCATAGCTCCGATACAACAACTGATTTCCACTTTCGCGGGACGCAATTCAAGGTTCCCGGGAGGCTGGACCAATCCTTTGGACACGGCTCGGTTACGCTGCCCCTTCCTTCGCGTTCAAGCTTTTCATCCACGCGGCAAAGGTGAGGCACACTTAATTCGTGCCCGCCATCGGTACACCGAACTTCCGAACGAATACATGTCTGCTAATGACACAATAACTCGCGCGATCGAGGGAAACATGTTTAGGTTGGTAATGAGGCGCGATACAAGCAGATAAAAGACGATATGAATCTTAAAGGGCATACGATCTTGATCTGTGAGCACGGTTATAAGAAGGAGGATCATAAAGAAGACGTTTTTCTCGCGTTGGTAGGGACTAAACGATGTTTATTGGTCAATGTGCGTAGCAAAAGGATCTAAACACTGTAAATAGCGCATCCGAATTGATCAATCATGCATCGGCGACTTTCCAGCCACCAGGCATCAGGTTGGTATATACCCGAAGAGGATCGTACTTTGTACGAATAGTCTTTAGCCTTCTCAAGTTGGCAGCCGGATAGCTTTGGAAAATGGGCTGCCCTTTTCCAGCATCATTCATGTACAGGTAATCAGCGCTCCATGATTTTGCCTTGAGCAAGCTGTTGATGCTTGCTGTAATCTCATCAGCAGCAGCGCGTACCTTGACATCATCGCTTGCTGACGTCCAAGTGAAGTTCTCCACCATCCAGAAGAAAGGTGCCTTGGAGACATCCACGCCTTGAGGGTTACCACCAGTCTTAGCACTGTGCGACAAAAATGCCTTGGTAACAGGCTGAAAGGTTATTGAAGCCTGGAGGTTGGCAACGTTGGGCAGCTTGGCATTGACGCCCGAGATGAAGGTGTCGTGAATGAGCTGAACAGCGGCTCGATCGACGACAGACGAAAGGGTGCGGAACTCCTGGCGTAGCCCTAATGGTTGAAGAGCGTCTGTAGCTGAGATGTAGTCTGAAAGCGGTTGCAGTGCATATGAATCGGCGACAGGGGTGAGCTTCGGCGCAGTGAAGTTCTCAAACACTTCTGGGTTGTCAGTAGTGGAATGGTAGAACTTAGCAGCCGCATAAACCGTCATGTTCGCCGCAGGGAAGGTAAGGATCGTAGGAATGATGGCAGCTTTGGGATCTATGCCGCCGTATTGTCCAAAGTTGTAAACACCGTCCAGGTAGCCTTTCGATTGCGACTGATCAAATTGCCCGATGCCAACGTGAACATCGCTACCCTCTACTGGTCGTAGATCGAATCGTGTGACGATACAGAAGGAGTTTCCGCCTCCCCTCAAGGCCCAGAAAAGATCGGAGTATCTGTTCGTCGCTGTTGCTTCAATGATCAGACCGCTGGACAACACGCACTATCGTTGTCAGCTCAGAGCTAAGCTCAAGAGAGATAGTGACAACTTACTTGATACTTCTGAACGTTGTCCGAAGCAAACCCATACTCCGAAGAGTAGAAGGAAATTCCCCCACCGAGTAGCAGACCAGGAACACCCACGTGGCCCACACGACCTCCAACAGCCGCGAGTCCAGATGGTTTGAGATAAGCGTAGACGTCCCTCCACCTATTTCCGGGACCAACGGAGACGATAGACTTGTCTGTCGAAAGAGACAAGGTCGTCAAGTTGGACGAAGACAGCAACACACCGGAGCTATCGATTCCGTTGTAGCCAGGTATTGGCATATGTCCTCCTCCTCGCATAGCGAATTTTGAGAGGGTGAGTGTCATGGTAGTGACCGCGTACGAAACTTGTTGGGCATTTTGAGGAACGAAGACGCACGCAGGACTGCTGTAGACTGTGGCTGACCAATAGGCTGTGGGTTGTTAGCAAATATTGCGCTTGCGTCTCGATTGTAAACACATACGCTCTTGTGTCTCATAGGAGTAGCCCGGAGTTCCAGGTAGAAAGGTGCTTTCAGGGTATTTGGCCTTCAATTTCGAGCAGGCGACTTTCTCACCACCGAAGAGGCTCTTGGCTGCTCCCGTCGCAATTGACGGTGCGGCAAAGAGAAGAGCCGCAACACCTGCTAAAAGTACCATGTTGAATCTAGGGAGATGATGCCAATAGCTAAGTACGAACGAGATAGACGGGCGGATGCTAACGTTTATGAAGAATATCGGACGGATATAAACTATTGCCTCCGCGGCTCGACTCCATCTGAAAGCATGTCGGTCTAGTGCACCTAGGTCTCCCATTTACCGGAGCTGTTACCAATTCAGGACACAGGAAGGATCGTCTGCATGTTCGGCTTGCGAACTATGCGATGGATCGCAAGCGAAGAAGTCGTACCGCTCGTACATACAACGTGGGTGTGATATTTGCGTCTGCAATACACCCATCAAGGTACACGAATAATAGTTTCCATGGGGTTGTTACAGCGCAGCGATGAGAACAGTCTCGAGTTATTATCAAACCTTGGGATGCAAGGATGAAGGAACGGTCTGCCGTACAAAGTACGCGTGGTGCGGCGCGGATTAGCCAGGCTACTAGCGCCAAAACGCCCCTCATCCTTCGGGCGAGGTCCCCACCGCTTCATCTCGCGGCCGCCCCATCGGTTGAGACCCTGGGTTCGGTTGACCACGACTCGGGACTGTAGTGGGGGTGCGATTCTCCAGTTGTCACTTCATCCTCGCGTTATGTGATTTCGCCGACCTTGTTTGTAACCTTTACAAAATATCTATATAGCGTTTTTCAAGCACTGCAAAACGCGTTCTTTTTGCTTACAGTAAGTAACTTTGCATTATCTTAAGATCGGTTGGGAATTGATAAGATCAATACAACTTGAAGACTTGTTTGCATGCCTAGGTAGTTCATCTGGGAAGCAAATATGACGCATCGCGTTTTTTTCTGAGTCGTTCGTAACAAAAAAGTTACTCTGAAACCATACCAATTACCATACCGAAGATGTATTGATATGACCATGTCAGATCTCTGTAGCAGACTATAACGAGAGGTCAAAGCTGAAGTTAGTCTGGCTGTCACTCTTACATCTGAACAGCAATATGTTGACACGGTGATCAATAGCTTCATAACGCTGCAGTCGTCCCATAGTCTCAGTCCTCATGGCGCGCAGTAGATACAGCTTGCAAGGCGGGACGCAGCCTTGCAAAAGCAACCCATACCAGCAACGCCAACACAGTCTCGATAATTATCGCGAACCGGAAGACACCAATACCCATGCCGTCGATAACGGCACCGATAGCAAACGGTGAAAGCGCTGCTCCAACCTGACCTAGAGAAGCCACAAAGGAAACAGCGGCAACATGCAACTCTGCCGGCAACAACCGTGTAAGCACAACAACCCCTGACGGAAACATCGGACCCATGATAAACCCTAGCGTTGTCATCAGCGCCACAGAAGCAGCTGCAGACGACAGAGCAGCGAAGAGAACATCTATCCCAATAGCGAGAACAAAGTACAAACCAGTCGCGCGCCGCACCCCCATTCTATCTGTTGCAAAACCTAACGTGAGTCGTCCAACAGCCATGCCAATCCAGTACCCCGTAGAAGACAGACCAGCGACGTAAGCGGTTGAGTGACGGCTGCGCAGCATGAATGAGACGATCCACCCCGAGATCGCTGTCTCGATACCAACGTAAGTGAGAAAGTACGCTGCGCAGAACCAAGTAGCTCGGTATCTGAACACGGCCTTGACGTCGATCTTGGAATCGTTGATTTTCGACTGCTTGCTTTCGCGGTAGACGGATGCGGTTTCGTTACGGAATGCCGTGACCAAGACCAAGAAAGAGAGAGCGCATGCTCCAGCCTACAACCATTAGTCAAGGAAGTGAAGACCTTGGATTCAGGAACTCACCAAGATAGCATACCAAGTCCACCACGGAAAGTGCCTGGTGGTCAAAATAGTAACGATAAATGGACCCATGGCCCCACCAACACTATAACTCCCATGCAACAGCCCGCTCACAGTATTCGCCTTCTCCATACTCCCCGCCCACGCACACCAACTCCCATCCAGCAGCCCCGTTCCCAGCCCCTGGAACATAAAGGCAACCAGCACCCACCCAAACCCCGGATGCGTTGCTACCATCGTCGTAGCCAGGATTTGTAACAAAGGCGCTGCAACTGCGATTCCTCGTTGGCCAAAGCGGTGATGCACAGTATCGCTACACTGTGCTGCTACAACGTAGCCGATGGGCGGGACGAGAAATATGCAAGATACTTGGAGGTCGGTGAGATGGTAGTAGGAGGAGAGGAGAGGGAGGACGGTGCCGATTGAGGAGTTGAAGAGGCCGAGTGTGGTGAAGGAGTACATTGCTGCCGCAATCTTCAACATCGGGCGCGTGTCCATCTTTTCATCGACATTGCGAGTAGTCTCGTTGTCTCCTGGAGAGCTATTGTTGTCATGGAGAAGCGGTGAATCTTCGTGGTTGGTGGGTTGGTGTGCCATGTTGTTGCGACGTTGCACATTCAGATCGCGATGCCAGATTGTTAGTTGCGTTGTTTTATGTCAGCAAGGTCACGAATACATTCTTGACGAGTTGGGAACAGTTTGAGAATGAACGTTGATTGATGATATGGATAGTTGATTGTCAGTTCCGGCGGAAACTGGTGTCGCGGAATGTCGCTAGGAACAGGTAAGCGTCACCCAGGCGGCTGGCCAATGACATCATCACGTCGCGTGTTGTGAAGTGATGCCCAACGCCCAGGATGTCGTCCTGGTAAACATATAGCTGCATACCGTAAGGGTGCCAAGCGCTGACATAGACGCATTACACGTAGTTTTTCATGTTTCAACATGTTGGGATCGGCCAAAATGAAGCTTCTCAGTTTTCGTACGCCAGTACCTGCGTAATCGCGACTGTTTTCGTGTCGCGCAGGAATTGCAAGGTCCCTTCCAGACAAACACTCTGGTTGAGGTGGGCTACGCTCGTTTCGAGAATGACATCTAGCCTTCGATAGAGACTCAATCTTCATCATCCGAAGATGCATAGCCTAACCCAAGCGAAAGCGTGTTTACGAGCTTGGAGGAAGGTGGCCCTGCTGGTGGCTTTGTCGCGTTTACGGATGATGTCGCGGGACTCTTTACGCCGTTACCGCCGCCCGTAGTAGAAGGTGTGTTCGTTTTGACATCCGGAGTAGACTGCTTCGTAGCCTTTACTCCGTTGGTGCTGCTCTTCTCTTCAGGCATGGAGCTCGATTTCCTAAGCTTTACGCCCTTTAGGAGACCAGCTTCAGTACCCTTTTTCCTCTTTCGTCCAACTGCCGCCCATTGGCCGGCATCCTCCTCTTGAGGTGTTTCTGTGCTCTCTTCTTCGAGACCCCGAGCCTTCCTCTCGGCTTCTTCGCGCTGTCTGCGGAACAAATCTAATTGTTCAAAGGTTTCTTTCTTTACATTGGCTTCTTCCTGGCGCTTCTTTTCCAAGACTGAATCCAGGTAGTCGGCTTCTTCGTCGTCCAGAGCAACATGCAGCTTGTACCGCGCTTTCTCTTCAAACTCAGCTTGCTTCTTGTCTTTGTTGGCTTGCAAAACCTCGAAAAGACTTTTCCCGTCTTGCTGCTTCGCTAGGTCGGCTTTGGCGCGTCTCGCATCCTCAATCTCTTGCTGGGCCTTTTTCCACTCATCATCGCGTTCAACTTCCTCACCAGCCTTGCCGCCACTGACGAATCCTGAAGACATTGCGGTCCACACTTATACGGCTAGCGCAGGTTGCTGATGGCGGTGCAGTGGAAGCGGGAATGTTCAACGGCAGAACGCCAAAAAATGGTACTGTTCCGACTTCCTTTTGGGTTCTAGCGCCAGGTGGGTAGCGCTCCACCCCCCACCCGTTTAACCTCACCCGCGGGCAAATCGCGTCCTGATACGTGGAGGTTTTATGCCGGTGCTTAAAGTTGCTCGGTACAGATACCAACGTGTTGGATGAAGGATGGCCCTGACGTAGGAGGGGTACACAACGCGTCGGCACTGCCCCTCCAGATCACCCTTCAAAAGTTTGCCATTCCTGCCTTCTTTCAAATTTCCTACATCCCAAACTTTACCTTACAATTTATGATTCGTACCCTAGCAAGAATGGCACCCAAGAACTGGACCAAGGAGCACTTCACGCTCAACACTGGCGCAAAGATTCCCGCTGTCGGTCTCGGCACATGGCAGTCAAAGCCTGGTGAGGTTCGCGAGGCCGTCAAGGCTGCCCTCCAGGGAGGATACCGCCACATCGACACCGCGCTTGCCTACGGCAACGAGAAGGAGGTCGGCGAGGGTATCAAAGACTCTGGTGTACCCCGTGAGGAGATCTGGGTTACCACCAAGCTTGACAACCCATGGCACAAGCGCGTTGAAGAGGGCATTACCAGCTCTCTGAACAGTCTTGGTCTCGACTACGTTGACCTTTACCTCATGGTAAGTTGCTCAACATCAAGGTATACTCCCCGATTGGACTAAACACTGACGCGGTGACAGCACTGGCCTTCTTCCACCGACCCCGATGATCTTAAGAAGCACTACCCCGACTGGGACTTCAAGGACACCTGGGCGGAGATGCAAAAGCTCCCCGAGTCTGGCCGCGTAAAGAACATTGGTGTTTCCAACTTCGCCATCAAGAACCTCGAGAAGCTGTTTGCCGATTCTCGCTTCAAGACCACACCTGCCGTCAACCAGATCGAGCTCCACCCCAACAACCCCTCGTAAGTCATGTGTTGGCAGCTCACTCATGTATGTGTAAACTGACAGTGAGACCAGCCCCAAGCTCCTCGATTACCTCAAGGAGAAGGGCATCCACGCCACCGCCTACTCCTGCCTCGGATCAACCGACTCACCTCTTTACAAGAACGAGAAGCTCAAGAAGCTCGCCGACAACAAGGGCAAGTCTGTCCAGCAAGTCTTGCTCATGTGGGGTCTGCAGCGTGGCTCCAGCGTCATCCCCAAGTCCGTCACAGCATCCCGCATCCAGGGCAACTTCCAGCTTGACGGCTGGGAGCTGACTGATGAGGAGATGAAGGAGATTAGCTCGCTGCCTGAGCGCTTCAAGGTTTGTGGTGACGCCTGGCTACCGGTCAAGGTCTTCTTTGGCGATGACGAGTAGGTCTTTACGTACAATGATACCATGAAATAGAAAGGAATGAACATGTGACTGCAAATACACCCGAAGTGTCAGTGCGTGAAGCGTCTTTGGTGTTGCGGAGTGACGTCGGACATGACCTTGGGAGCCTGAGCGCCTGCCTTGTGGCGATTTATCAGCGTCATGTGAGAACGCGTTTGGCGCTAGCAAGACGCGCCTGATCTAGATGCCCGTTCGCCACTCATCTCTCTTTCTTGAACACTTCACACTCGACTCCAGTACAACGACTAATTCACACTTTTTTACCGTCCCATATCCGCCAAAATGAGTGCCGAAGAAGAGCAGTTCGATGATAGCAGCATGGGTGGCCCTGGTGCCCCCACTCCGGTGTCTGCGCTTGAGGTATGCTTTACTTAACTTAGTACGCGCAGCGGACATTGACGAGACCTCAGGGAGTCAATGGATTGACTGCACGCGACATCAAATTGATTGTTGAGGGCGGCTTCAATACCGTAGAGTCAATTGCCTATACGTATGTCAGCCACTGTGTGTAGATTGGCCCCGCCACTAACAACAGACAGGCCACGGCGAGCGCTCGAGCAAATAAAGGGCATCTCAGAACAAAAGGCCTCAAAACTACTTGCAGAGGGTAAGCAGCAACGACGCCGCTATATTGCCTGTTGCTTACTTGAACAGCCTCCAAACTTGTCCCTATGGGCTTCACCACGGCTACCGAGATGCACTCACGCCGCAGCGAACTGATTTCGATTACAACCGGCTCAAAGCAACTGGACACTCTTCTGGCAGGTGGAATTGAGACTGGCTCGATCACAGAGATCTTTGGCGAGTTTCGAACGGGAAAGAGTCAGATTTGTCATACACTTGCCGTTACCTGCCAGCTGCCGTTCGACATGGGCGGTGGTGAGGGCAAATGCCTATACATCGACACTGAGGGCACCTTCCGACCAGTACGATGTTTGGCTGTGGCAAATCGATTCGGACTTTCAGGAGAAGAAGTTCTAGACAATGTTGCTTACGCGCGCGCATACAACTCTGATCACCAGCTGGAGCTTCTCAACCAGGCCGCCCAGATGATGACGGAGACACGATTCTCATTGCTCGTCGTCGACTCTGCCACCGCACTATATCGAACGGATTTTGCAGGGCGTGGAGAGCTTTCGGCTAGGCAAACACATTTGGCCAAGTTCATGCGCACGCTACAACGGCTTGCGGATGAGTTTGGTATTGCCGTCGTAATCACCAACCAAGTCGTTGCACAAGTGGATGGTGGGCCAAGTGCCATGTTCAACCCAGATCCGAAGAAACCTATCGGAGGAAACATCATTGCGCACGCAAGTACGACGCGCCTCAGCTTGAGGAAGGGCAGGGGAGAAACGCGTGTTTGCAAGATCTACGACAGCCCATGTCTGCCAGAGAGCGATTGCCTGTTCGCCATCAACGAAGACGGCATTGGCGATCCCAAGGAGAAGGACCTCGAGGAGAGGGCCAATAGGTGATGAGGCTGATGGAGGGGCTTCGGCCCCGATTCGCATTGCCGGTGCAAGGCGTTATGGGGCGGTGACGATCTAGATGTGTTTGGTCGTGGACGATTTATGTTTATGCAATGCGTATGATATCCTAATACAAAACTTGAACCGAAGCACATCATGGTTGTCCACTTCTCTCGCGTGCTGCGTGATGCGAGCCCCCCTGCAAGAAACGTCAAGGTGATCTGCGGTGAAGGACAAAGCCGCGTCCGTGCACGCGTGCGCCAGACAGCTTCGTGCATGCACCGCGGCGACTGTTTTTGTGAGCTTTACCTTCGCGCCGACAGCTGCAACTCCAACCCAACGCGCGCTACAATTCTTCGACTCCTGCGACGACAGTCGGGACCCTTTCGCATGCGATCGCCATGGTTCAAACCGGAGGCACATGTCTCTACAAAGAGGCGCGATTGAACATCGAACCCGCCTATCCTGGCTCGACAATCGTATTTTCGATACCAACACACGCTCCTTTCGGGGTCCGAGGCACGGTGAAGCGCAGTCTTATCACAGAGCACTATGCAGACAAAGATGAGGAGGCCTTCACGAGGCGTCATCTAGCCACGGATGGATCCATGTTCTTTCGGCAACACCATGCATACCCGCGAAGCTTCCTCTGGCGAGTGCTGGACAACAGAAAGATGTTGGAGATACAGTCCACCGACTTGGACCACGACTTTGCCGACAAGTTCGAGGCCAACCTCACGCTCCTCTTCCAGTTCCCCGCCGAGATTCGACCCTTTTGCGTCGCCTTCGCTGAGCCCGCTGACAGAGACGCATTGAGCGTCTTCGTAATCACGACGAACAACGAGCTCTATACCATGACTCTACACCGCGACTTCTTCTCCACTCCCGCAGCCTCGGAGCAGGAACCCGAGACGTGGTGCAAGAGGTTCGAGCCGGCCCTCTTCAGCGGGCGCATACCCTACAGATTGGTCGCCGAAAGCGCAGAGGAGCTACTCGTAACACTTGATGATGGGGCCATCTGCCGTCTGATTTGGGACAAGGCCAACAACACGTGGGACGGGGCGCGGTACCAGCAGAGTAACTGGTCGGTGCGCGGTCTTCTGTCATGGAAAGCGCAGCCCACAGTCCGGTTTGAAAACGCAGACTTTGCTGTATCAGCCGCCGCTGCGGTCGCGATATCACCGAACAAGCAACACATCCTCTCAGTATGTTTGGATCACTCGATAAGGGCGTGGAACATTGCGTCAGGCAAGCCAGGTGCTCACATTGACCTCTTGGGCGCCGACGACTTCGCACTGGAAAAGTCACAAGCTTCATACTCGATTGGACCTTCGCAGTCGACGCTCATGACTGTCGTGGACGGTCTTGGGGGGCCAGGAGGCGCAGAGTATCACATCGTCACCTACTCTCCGAAGCAGCATCAATTCAAGTTCTGGGGCGTGCGGGACGCGGACGACCAGGACCATGGATTCTACGATGCTGCGCAGGACTCGGAGCTCATTCCGCCGATTGACGAACTGATGAACACGACTGTATGGACACTAGAGGAATTCCACGTAATTCCAGGACCTGGGTGGAGAGGCTCGGAGATCTGGATACGCGCTAGGTCAGGACCGAGCAGTAAAGTCTACTCATTGAAATTTGACCTCACTGATTTTGCCGACCAACGAACACAAACTTGGAAGAGCGATTGGGTGTCTGTTGATTCAGGCCCATTGACCGTCGAGGCACTAAAGATGAATCCTGCGAATCCTAGCGAGCGAGAGTTGGAGCCTGACGAGGAGGTCTCTGATCAATGGATTGACTTCCTGTTCTATCCCGGACGGTTCACGATTGCGACGTTGGAGACGGCGCTGCTCATCTGCAAAAGAGGTTCAGAGCGGGTGCGGTCAAGTCGATCGTCGAATCGGGGCAGCTTGAAAGAGCGTCTAAGCGCCACTATTGTCACCCTCGCGGTCGAGCACAGTCCGCAAACAGAAGATCTCAGCAAAGCCATAATAGCAGAGTGGCAGGCTTACTGGAGTCTGGTAAAGGATCTACATAAGCGAAGGGGAGAATCGCTATCACTCGTTTACGACCGAGCTACCGACCGGCCGTGGCTAGTGTTGAGCGACCACCTCTCTGCGATTAGGAATTGCAGCGAGTCAGAAGTCACTACTCTCAACGCAGCTGCCATCTCAAGCCAGCGCGTGCTGAGCAAGCCCCTACGGCAAACCCTGGATACTTCGGAGTCTCGCGATGTGGCACGTTTATTGAACGCCGCAGCTTCCTTCCGTCAACGACTGCCATCTTTTGTCCAGCAACAAGTACAACGCCACATGGAGATGGACCTACTACAGAGCCGGAACATCACAATCTTGGATCGCATGGAATGGATCGAGGTCAACAGCGAACTGTCCCAGCATGTCACTGACGAGGATGTCACCGTCCTTGTGGAAGAGCTTGGTATGGAAGTGAAGGACTTGGGCACCGAGACATTTCTCCGAGCTATCAAGAAGCTGGACTATGAACACGATGGCCGACCTCAGTCGAGAAAGCAAATCGCAAGATATGGGCTGAGTGCGCTATCTTCAGTCTCCAAGGAAACGCTTGAGAATGACCACAATGCCCTATTGGACTTGCTTGTGCTGCTGTTGTTCATGTTCATCGAGCTGGAGGGAGAAACACATGATGAGTGGGATGCATCTGAAGTCTTTGCAGAGCTTTTGCTTCGGTACAAGGATTGCATGGTAGTGTCCTGGTTAGCTCGCACAGTGTGGGCTCACCAGTCTATGACGGGTCAAGCGTCAGAGCAACTGTATCGCATGTTGGGCGAGATGTACAAGACCCAGAAGCTACCTATTACCCAGACAGTCCTCGAGGGCATTTACGGACTGCGCGCCTTTGAGGTCTTACTACCAAAGGATACGAAGGCGGGTCTACTCACCCACTGGAGCCGGGGCTGGTTGTCTTTCATCTTTAGGGAACACGACTTTGAGAATGTCGTGGAGGACATTATGGGGTTCCTTCTAGCACAGCAAGAGTACGACCTCGCTATGGACTTTTCCAAGTTCCTTCCAGAAGGTCATTGGGCCTCTTATCTGAAGGGGCGCATGCACCTTGCACTCGGTGAGAGTGCGCTGGCGTCTTTGTGCTTCCAAAAGCCTGCATATACCATGGGTAAGTCTACTACATGCAAATTTGCCTACAGACCACTAACCTGTACAGCCCTCGGTCCAATGTTCGATGTCTCGGAAGAAGACACAGCAGGCCTGGTATCAGAAGTCGAGCGAAACTCGTTTTCCGAAGGCCTAGCACGCTACTACAGTCACGTCATCGGTCTGTTCGAGAAGGCCAAGGCATATTCCTACGTCGCGGATTTTGCCAAACTCGGTCTGCGATGTTTGATGGGCCAGGAAGATGAGGAGCTCAAGACGGACCTGCTTCAACGGCTCTTCACCGCTTCAATACAAACAGCTAGATTCCATGATGCATATTCTGCGTTGATCAGGCATAGCGATACAGCCTTGTACGTCAAATACCCGTCTTACCTACTGTCCGACTTGTTATACTGACTGTTGCCGTTCCCACACAGGAAAACGTCTGATCTTCAAACTCTCATCACAACCATGGTCACAGCCTCGCAAACTCCCACCCTCCTCACATTCCCGTTCGTCGGCCTCTCCGACGCCGTCGACACCATCCTCACCTCTCTCTGCCAAAAGACACTCAACCTTGCTTCCGGACCGCCGTACCATCAAATCCTCTACTCGTTCCGCATCAGCCGAAACAACTTCCGCGGCGCAGCGTCTATCCTGCACGAGCGGCTGCAACGTCTCAAGACAACAAGTAGCAAGATCCATGACCCGGCTGATGAAAGCCTGGCGCAGATTTACCTCATGATTATCAATACTTTGTCGGCGGTGAGCAAGGAGGATGCGTATATTTTGGCGGAGCAGAGGATGGAAAGTAGTGGTGCAGGAGGGGGGTTGAACTGGGGGATTGGACAGGGCAAGAAGTTGCTCAAGAGGCAGATTGTTACGCTGGATACGCTGAGGAAGGAGTATCAGGAGGAGTTGGATCGGGTGGCGGCGATTGAGAGTGGGCAGTTTCCTTTTGTGGAGACCGAGGATGGGATGGATATCTTGTAGGAGTGTGGTGTGTTGGGTGTTTATAGCATGGCGTTTGTTAGGGAGTATCAGAGGGAATGATGGATGTAAGACTATATGTGACCTGCATCTGAAAGGGACTTTTTTCTTCTTTCTGGATGGATGACTGTAGCTAGCAAATATGATGGAGATCAAGATGTCTTTACGCAGAGTAGCTGTTTGAAATGTTGATCATGCATGGCTCGAGATTGATGGGTGAGGAGGCCGGAGGTGGAAATGACGCGCTAAGGCGCGCTCAGATGGCGGCGAATTGCGGGGCGTCGCGACCGACGTGTGGGTGCATGGCAACCGCTGGAAGACAGCAGGCCTGACTCGTCACTGCTCACCACTCCAAAGACGGCAGATGATCTGTACAGCAGCGCAATGAATGCCTTGTTCTCTCTCTCACCTACACAGACGCACTCCTACTACAGCACATAGTCATGGTGATGCTCGCATGTCCCATCGCGTACCCACGCACTCCACTAACACAAACACTCAGAACTCAAAGTCACTGCGCCGCCTCGCCGCCGACCACGGCTCCCTGCACACCGCCGGCCTTCCTCCCAACTACCTATTCCCTCCAGGCGCGGATGACTCGGCAGACCTCACCTCTCTAGACGTCCTTCTCGCCGGCCCTGTAGGAACACCTTATTCCGGCGGTGTATGGCGCCTACACCTCGACATCCCACCCACATACCCCGCAGCCCCGCCCACGGCGCAATTCCGAACCAGACTATGGCATCCGAACATCGACGAGGCCACGGGCGCCGTGTGTGTGGAGACGCTGAAGCGGGATTGGAGTAGTAGTTTAAAGCTGAGAGACGTGCTCGTCACGATATCCTGTCTCCTCATCCAACCGAATCCCGCGAGTGCACTCAACGAAGCAGCGGGCAAATTGGCCGTCGAGGACTGGGAGGGTTACTGTAGAAGGGCAAAGCTCATGACGGATATTCATGCTGCTGTGCCGCGGGACATGGCCGACGAGGTCAGGCAAGCGCAAATGAGGGGCGAAGACAAGGAGATGCCGTCTGAGGAATGTATCGCGAAACCGACGTCCAAGGGCAAGGAGAAGGAGCGCGTCAAGATGACGCCCGCGGGACCAAAGTTGCAACGTCCAGCGAGTGAAGATGAAGAAAACAGGCGACGGAGAGGGGGTGTCGGCATGCCGGGAGAGCAAAATAGTGATGCAGAGGAAGACTGGATACCTGGACCGCCACCGCCCTCTGGGGGCGACAAGACAGCAGCAAGAGGAGGTGGTAGTCATCATCATGCAAGGACGAGGAGTAAAGGGAATAACGCTTTTGGCATCAAAGGGCTCGCGAGACTCGATACGGCTCCGAAACGCGTCTTTGGTGGTACGCATACCCCGACGCCGACGTCGCCTGGTATACCGAACCCTTTCCCCGAGAAGGAAGAGGAGAAGCACACTACTATTGTTGATGACGCTGATGGTCCGTTCGTTACCGTCACGTCGAAACGTGACGCACATGGCCTAAAGCTCAGCTCGACGACCACGACCACGACCAAGGCAGCGGCGGAGTCAACAACAGCAGTAGTAGTAACAGAACAAACAGAAACCCCCGACCTGCTCAAATTCTCCCACAAGAACCCTTTTTCGGCTATCCAACTCAACAACCAAAGTCATCCTTTGATCAAGGAATTCTCGTATAGTTGGGAAGATGCGGCTGTGTTGCACGATGCTACTGTTGCTGGTGGTACAGTGGAGGAAAAGTCACTCGTGAGGAAGAGACTGGCAGGCGAAGAGTTTGACAAGAAGAAGAAGTGGGAGATGAAGAGGTTTAGGAGGGCTGGGGGGGATTTGAAGAGGTTTAA